TTGCCAAAGTGACGGTGCCCGATAAAATACGGCAGACTCCATCTTCATTGCCGCCATTAGTACGGCAAAAGTTAAACTGCCATTATAGCCGCCATATGTCACTGATTTTCGGGAAGGGTCTATTGCACGTTTTAAAAGCCTGTCCTTGCCGTAATAGTTTATGATTGTGTCATTTTAGATTTGTCATAAAACACTAGCCGGTAGAAATTAGGGCTCTAGTCATTCTAATTTTGTGGTGTGCTGTGACCTTTAGATTTCTTCCGACTTGCACTAACAGTGAGCGAGTGCCATGGCAGCCAGAAAATTTCGTGTAGCCAGAAGAATTTCTCTTGCAGCTTTTTTTTTCATATGATATATATATGTCTATCTATACGGGTTCACAAGATAGACTTGAAATATCTAGAACAAAGTTACGGAAACATAGGAGGCATGCTTTATCTGAAACGCTGCTTCAGATGTCAATACATGGAACTAGGGTGCCTTCTTGCCCCGCTTCGCTAAGGGTGGTGCCAAGTGCCCGTTCCCTTCTCTTGTATCCTCTCCCATAGTCATTTTGTAACCGCTACATTTCCACTGAAACGTGCGAGCAACATTGGAATTGTACGACTTGAGGCACCCCCAACCCCCCCCCCCCCTCCCCCAAACAACCCTGAGTATTCTCTTTCACGAACGGGCTGTAAACTTTCCTCGCTAGATGGCGCAACCTACTACCCATTACGAAGAATAGACCCACCACTATTTGTCCACCCATCCTGGACCAGAGGATGTGAAAAGGGATGTCGTGGCCGTAGCTACCGTGGCTGATGTGCGTCGCGTTGTTTACATCGTTTACTCGATCGCTTCGCGCTTCAATGCGGCGAGGCTGGCAAGGCAAGGGTGGGTTGCTTCCGTTGCTTCCAGGGAAACTCAAGCACGTACTGGAGAGGTCCATATCACATGAGCGAAAGACATTTTAGCGAACAGTCGCATTTGAGCGAATCGACGTTTTAGCGAATAACGGGGGCGCGCGTTAACCCATCCGCCGCGCTGCGCTTTGCGCCGCTTCGCGGCGACAGTCTGCGGCACCTCATTACAAAAATGTGAACCCATTAAGGCCCACCCGAAAACGCCGCTTCGCGGCGTCCGACTATTCGCTAAAGTGTCATTCGGTGAAACGTGGGCGTTCGCTAAAACGTCATTCGATCAAGTTAGTGCCTCCCCGCTCGCCCGGTGTCGTTCGACGTGTGTTCCTCAGTGTGGGTGCTTCGTCTTTTCTCGTGCGTGCCACAACATGTGCCTCCGCGTGTATCAATTACGTGCACAGTTAGCGACCAGCAACGTTCGTCGGCTTTAAGGCCCGTTCACACTTGCGACAGTCGCTGGAGCGACCAGCGACTAGCGACTGGTTTTTGGTCGCGGAGCGACCAAAACAGGTCGGTAGCGACCGATTTTGGGCAGTCGCTCCCTGACCGATTTCTCAAGTCGCAAAACCGAGTCGCTGGACGGCGGAGCCAAACAGAGTCTCGTCGGAAGTGATGTGTGCGTTTGTTTACATCCGGCACTGCTACCCGCGGAAAATAGCGACGCGCGCACGGCGGCGGTCTCTGGCGTGGAGTTCTCCGCGGAAGCTCTTATTAATGCTGTCAAAGACTATTTGGTCTTTGACAGCTTTCGGGGCAAAAAGCTGCAGGCCTAAAACGATATCGGCGACATTTTCGGCATGGCAGGTACGTACAATATCACGGTTGAGGGAGCGCACATATAGCCGTTGTTTTACGTTCCGAAGCACCATTACGTTTTCTTGTTTTTTCCTGCCGGCACCTTTGATAAAAAAAAAAACTTTCAGCCGGCTCGAAAAGGTGTTGATTACTATCCGTTAAGTTGGCAGCGAGCCTGGCGACTCGTCAGTCGCTCAATCAAGCGTGAACACTGGTGGTCGCCAGTCGCTTGTCGCTAGTCGCTCCAGCGACTGTCCCAAGTCGCAAGTGTGAACGGGCCATCTGATCGGCGACTCGAAATAGTTCGACGGAGATCGGCTCGTCCGATGTCGTTCGATGTGTGTTCCACAATGTGGGTGCTTCGTCTTCTCTCGTGCGTGCCCCAACATGTGCCTCAGCGTGCGTCAATTCCTTTTTATTTTGATGTATTTCGAATCATTGATACAGGTAAGTCGAGCACGCACAGCGCGTATAACTAGGTTCCCTGCATGCTCTTTGAGCGCGAGTACTTCGGGTAGTTCCGCTCGTGCACAGACCTGCGTGGCAGTGTTTATCTGTGCCACTGTGGCGCCTTTTTTTCTTTCTTGTTTGTAACCCTGATTAGTGCTTAGTTTGTATTCGGCATGTCTTCTAAGATGTGCCTGGGTGCGTATTCGGTGCGTGTGTCGATATGTGTTCTGGCGGAGTGCTGTGCTCTTTATTGAATGATTAGTACACACTTTCGAAAGGTCAGTGGCCCAAACTATCATCCGTGCGAAGGTCCACTCACTTGCGAACGACAAACAAGGAAAGTGGAAGAAGCTGCACAGGGAAACATATATTACTTTTTGGACCATGACTGCCGAGTTCAGCAGATTTTCGGATGCCTATTCACGGTGCATATTAACAATGTAAAGACTCTGACTGTCTTACAGGAAAAAAGAAGCACACTTCTCACTTCTGGAAACGCTCTAACCCATTGACTTCAGAAGCACTCCCTGTGCGGTTTTTTGTGTGTTTATTCCTATTTGTCAAGATTTTTTGTTACATTAACTTACTTAAATTTCTTTTAGGGTTTCCGAGGTTACTGCTGTTCCTCACCCCTCATTCCTGTTCAAAAAAAGGTTCCTCCAAAAGTTTAATGGCTGGTGAAAGTGCTGCGTGTCATCGACTTTGCTAAACGTTTTAGCGGTGTGGAGGAGCTGGTCGACGCAGATCACTGCGGAGAGTCCACTTGAAATCACGTGTTTGGCAATGGTTCTTTTGTGCAGGCTACAGAGAACAGGCTCTCCAAACAAATTTGTGTTTCAGCCCTCTCAGTAAATAGGCACAGCATTGTTTCTTTCTGAGCTTTTTCTTTATTTTCTATGTGACAAACCCTTGTCAGAAGCAGTGACAATTTAGTTGCTTACTGAGTCTTAAGTAGTTTGCATCCGTTACAGAGGCTTTTTTCAGATCACTGCAATTTCCAAAGCAAAAACAGTGTATCTTTAATTATTTACAGTGTATCAGGTAACATAAGCAGACATCGGGCTAACCGAGTTGCCTCTCAGCAGGTACTCCGCTCAGCGGTGGGCTTTACGAGAGGTTGACTCCAGTGCAGGTCTTGCTAGAGTGGCCACTTGCACGTTTTTCGAGGCGAGCCTGTTTTTAGGTGAATTTTCAAACGGAAGTGCAGGTACTTCTCAAGTAGCAGCCCCTTTACGTTGGCTTTGTGTACAGACCATGCTATGGACACAGGTGAGCTGTTTTTCCTAAGAAGAGCCGCAATGGTCTCGAATGGTGAAGCAAGGCTCAAGATTTATGTCGTGTACGTGTGGCCCATGAACTGCTGGGGTAGGTAAACTGACACCTCAATAATATTTTTCTTTGCGGCATGTACAAAAACAGTAACTTAATCAATTCAACACGCTCGGCTGAAGTGAAGTCCTTCGTCAGAGAGACATGGTTCAAGGATTCCTTCGAAGAAACTAGAAGAAACAAAAAGTGCCGTCACGGGGGGGCGGAGACGAATCTTTGCAGAAACTCGGGGAAGCAAGATAGGCCAGAGTGGCTAGAAACGCGATATTTTGGGTGCTCAATCTAGGTTAACAAAGCTCAATGAAGACACCAGTATTTAGGTTCGTTGCTCAAAAAATATTAGCGTTCGTTTGTACCTTTACAGCCCATAAAAAACAAAAGCAAAAGACCTTTCAAACCAGTCATTAAATGTGTGGTGGACACTGGTTTTTGATAAAATTCTACGATCGACAACGTTCGTCCAAATTATTAGCATTCAGGCCACAAGAAACTGTTCTGATTTTGTTTGTTCATTTGTTTTTCCTTGGCCGAGTCACATCCTTTTCTTGCAAAGCCATCCTGCCATGATTCAGTAAGACTCCATTGAACATCGGTCACGTTCAGATATCACATTTTATAAAAAAAAAAAAAAAAAAAAGTTCCAGCTCCTTGTGAATCTAACTTTATCAACTCCTAACCTGAAAAAAAAGCGTTCAAATCTGCAACCAACCATTTTCAATTCTGGGTGGCTCTGGACTCCGCGACATGAACTACGTGTGTCGGAAATATTTCTGCCCAAGGACCTCACATTGGCGGTATCCCAAACATCGCCGCTGAACTCATTGTTGAAACTCTTGAATTTGTTGTGGGCCATCGTCATCGTGGCTTTAAGACCCCTTGAGTCGACAGGTTGAAAATGTACGCGTACCATCAACGCCCCTCGTGAAAAATCTGATGTAAGAATTTTGTGGTGCTATAAACGCATATGATCACATAAGATAATATAATATTTACAAGACCCTTATAAGAATATATAAGAACATATAAAACAATATAAGTTATATAAGAAGTTATAAGAAGCTTCTTATCAGTTTCTTATCAGTTTCTTATATAATCTTATATTGCTCTTATATGTTCTAATAAGGTTCTTGTATGCTGCTATATTATCTTATTTGACCATATGCGTTTATTGGACCAAGACATGTCTTATGCATTTCATACAAGAATTTTCACTAGGATCACCAGTTTGACGAAACCTGTTTAACACCAGTGGGACGTCCTTTCCGTAGTGGAACGATGTTATCCGCATTGTGATGTCTCAAATAAATGAATGCAATTAAGAAAACAGCGAACGTGATCAATTTTCTCTCCTTTGTTTGTTTGTCTGTTTTCTTTTTTTGTTTTTTTACGTTGATGTGATAAGACGCATGGACAGCAGAACATGTCTGGGCCAACGTTGATGGTGCTAGTCGTTACCTAATCGATCAAGGAAGGGGATAAAGAGAGAGCTGCTCTATACCAACCAGTTAAATTCGTTGTCATTTTATTTCATATAGGAAGAAAATACATTTAATTACTGCACAAACGGCTTCCCTTCGATGAACCTTGTTATCATGTCCAAAGCAACCTCTGGTTGGTCGTACGGCAGTAGGTGACCTGCGTTCCTTACTAGCACCTCTGTAAAATTGCCAACCTGTCTGACGTAGCCTGCCACGTCCTCTCCACTTGGAGTCAGCCAGATTTTTCGAGGTGCTTTCTCGAAGGCTTTTGCGCCGGACCACGATATTGCTGAGATCATGTTGGCCGTTAACGGATAAGCAATGATGATGTCCAGTTGGCCATTGTAGATCATCACCTTATAGTTTTCCATCAATACAGTGAGCCATGGCTTCACTGATTTCATTATGTCTTCGAGGAGGTGGGCTTTAACCGCGTCGCCGTCGTTGAATGTAAGCTTCCCGACATGGATTGCTTTACGAACTAAAGCTGTCTGCACAAAAGCGTTGTAGTATCCGAGCTGTTTTGGCTGCTTGGATAGAAGGAAGTTGTAATAGAAATCGAGCCCCGTGACATTCTTGAAATAGGAAGTTTCTTTCACGACGTCACCGTCCCAGAGAGCATCGAAGATGTAGAAGGCGTCCAGGTAGCGACCGTCGTCGATGAACTGTTTGGCCTTCTGACTCGCTTCACGAATGTAGGCGGCTTGGTTGCTGTCCACCAGTCCAATCTGGTAGAGGAAGTCTGCGTAGTCAAACATTGTGCTAGGCTCCACCATGCCGTCACCAATGGCGATGCCTTTCAAGTTGATCTTGACACGGGGCTGCACGGCCGTGTGGATGGCGTAAGCGACGGCAGGAACATATTTTCCTGTTTGGGAGAACGTGGAACTTCAAATTTCCTGAACTCTTCGGAAGTAAATTTATAAAATGCAATAATTCAATCCAGCTTCGCGGTAACAGCCGTTACTGACTAAGCTAAACTGCGAGTGTAGCTTTTTTTCCCCTGTTGTTTAGAACTTAAACTTTAAATGAGAACGTCCATGGCATGATCACCCTAGAGTGCACTCCACTATCTTTCACTGCCAGGAGGAAAAGAAATGACCGGAGCTCTATCACTACATGCACGATTTTCTAGACCTTGCAAGCCCGAAATTGTACCCTGCTAAAAAAAAATATATAGTTGCAGTTGTATTTATATCATGGGCAGAACTGCATTGTCGCGCCACCCTACACCCTTCGTCCACACGACACTCATAATATTTGAGTTTTAGTTGGTTTCACTTTAAATATACAAGCGGAATTCCGACGCTGCAAGCCGATGGGCCCAATCAAAACGCTTTAAATGAGCTCAACTTCATCATGTTCGTCACTTTTTCTCTGCGTGTGGAGAAAAAAGCGCAGGATAGCGGTGCGTTCCCAGAGTCGGTCACAGCAAAGGCACAAAAGCGATGAGCACCATGACGATGACATTTTTGCACTGCGTGATTGCCTCTATCAGATTGTATAGCATCGGCTGCGGTAGAATTTAAAGTGAAACGGAGTACAGCATATTTGCATGTCGTCCCGCCAGGGGGCATGTAGGTCATTTCCACGCACGTGGCAATGACGGAACGAAAACAGGAAATCGCTCAGTTTACGAATCGGAAAGCGAGCCAGTGATGAGCACGTACCGGCGTACGATTCTCCGGAGGCGTAAAACTCGTTCCCGGCAAACTCGTGGAAGATGGTGAAGAACTGCTGCAGCGCTTCCAGCAGGTCTCTGCCAACGTCTGTCTCGTTGCGTGCGTAGCCCTGGTCCTTCCCGGTGAAGCTGTACCCCGTGCCCACGGGATTGTCAATGTAGAGCATGGAAAAGCGCCGAGCCCACGTGACTTCTCTCAGCTTTGGGACGCCGCCTTCGGCGACGTAGTACGGTCCGTGCTCCGAGAAGAGGCCGAAGAGCGAGGGAGCACCGGGACCGCCCTGCAGCCAGAGCACCACTGGAGCTGTCTCTGGGCTTTCCTGGCAGGAAATTTGTCTAGTGGAGCAATCTTCTCAAATCTCAATATGGGTGTAAACGAAAGAACAGAAAATGAGTAAACAAAATTTTATTAAATTATGAAATGATATAATATTTCGAACTAATCAAATCGCGCTATTGAGACAAGGACAAGAAAATCAAGAAAACGCACATATGACAAGCACCAGCGCCAGTCCTCGTCGTATGTGTGCCTTTTCTCGTCCTTGTTCGCGTTACTTGACCAATATTAAAGTATGGCCCAATTAGCCTAATCAAGGTTTAAGCGTCGTGTAGTAATATTGAAAGAAATTTTACCTCGCAATACACGCGATCGCATTGTTTGCTTGAGGCAAACAGGCAAGAGCTATTGCGGGCTTCTCGTTTAAGTGTAAGTCATCGCAAAAAAAAAAAAAAAAAAAAGATGTGCGCGGAGAAACTTTGTCTTTGAATTCTTAATTGTAAATGACACCACTGTGTCACTCAGTGTGAGCGCAGCGCATTTTCTTACATCGCGTAAATGGTGAAGCATCCGTCTACCTAAATTTGCGTAATTGTCGGCAAAAAAAAAAAAAAAAACTGCCTCATTTTAAGATTAATTTTGCTTAACGCTATTAACATTGAACAGAGTATCGTTATTTGTGTGCGAGCCTCTTCTGCGATTCTGATATTAGTACAGATTAGAGGTTCTTATCTGGTATTTTCTTCTATAGCCACTGAGAGCTGAGGAAACACAGGGTGCGGCTTTACATAGAGTGTCTTGAATGCCAAAGCTCCATATAAAAGGGGTCGTAAAAATCGGCGCCAGACGTAGCAGTCTAAAGGTTTCGTCAAGGGTGTATTTCACAAATTCGATTTAACGTGCGAAATTACAAGCTCTCATTATGTAAAAAAATGGTGCCGGAAATCTGGCAGAGTCAATGGCGGACGGTGACGCAGACGACCGAGCAGAGTGCTGGGGCGCGTTTGGCGCACGTATTGATAGATGGCGTGGGGAGCAGCGTCGGTGTAACCACATATGTACACGTTAGCCCGACAAAATGACACGTCAACAAATCTCTGCAATGCGAAACTAGAGTACAGCCCTTGAGGAGGACGGGAGCTTAGGGAGGGGGAGGGTATGCCCCTCTTCCAGACTTGTACCGTACGCATTACAAGTAATCAAATTACTTGTATTATCGATTACTTTTTGGAGTAATTTTGTAATCAGTTGATTACTTTTATTAGGCAGTAATCACAAGAGTAATCTGATTACTTTTCGAAGTAATAAAAATTACTTGTAACCGTTACAATTTGTCCACAGGGACCCCTCCCCCCTCCCCCTCCCCCCCCCCCCCCCCCGCCCCCCCCCCCCCCCCGCACACGCCTTTTTTTTTTTTTGAATTGACAAAAATAAAATTTGATCTTTTTTTTTTTTTCGAACGGAAAAAAAGAAAGATTTTTGCGGAGCTGTAGGAAACGAGGTCAATCTCTTTCTATGTACAGTTACTGTGGAATGTCCTTTTTTTTTTTTTTCGAGCTGGGACTGGGAGTAAGAAGCCCCAGGAAAGCCCCAGTGCGTGAAAAAGGCCATTCAGGGCGAAGTTTGAGGAAGCAGAATGTAGCTTTGTGAGTCATTCGTTCAAACTAGCCCCCTCACGCACACACACACACAGAAATAAAAAATAAAACAAATCCTGCTTAGGCAGTTGAAATATTTCCCCATTTCCCCTACGTGGTCTTTGTGACAAGCAATGTTTCGAGTTGAGAAGTGGTCGGGGGCGATCTCTTCCGCTAATGGATACTACACATGATCCGTTTCAAATCCTGGAGCTGCTGCTCTTTTGTATAACATGCGAGCTCATCCACATGTGAATAATAAAATGACCAACGCAAACTTTGATTGACAACCCTTGCTCAAGCTTAACAAGATCTAGAACCCCCTCCGCTCCCCCCTTCCCCCCCCCCCCCACACACACACACGCACTGCCAAACCCCCAAATGATTAAACGTCTTCAAACGAATTCTATGCTTGTGTCCGCATTGTGAAGGTGCAACGACCACGAAGAGGGAGCCAGTTTTTCTTCTTCAATACTTGTGCAAATGTGAAATATAGGTCGGAAGTAGTTCATTGTTATGAGCGCTAAAGATGTGTCTTCACACAATAAAGTAATCGGAAAAGTAACGATTACTTCTTTAAGTAATGTCCAATTACTTTTGCCATCGAGTAACCAAGTAATCTAATCGAATACTTTTTAGCCAAGAGTAATAGTAATTGTAATCGATTACATTTTTTTAGTAACGTGTACAAGACTGCCCTCTTCCTCTTCCGTACCGTCCCCTCCTCTTCCTCCTCTCCTCCTCAACATTCTCCTCCTCATTTCTCCCGCTAATTTTAGCGGGGAAACTGAATTGGTGTTGAGGTCCCGTGACGTCGATTTCTCCGCTGAATTTAGCCGGGAAACTTAACCTGCTAAATTTAGCGGAAAAATGTTTCTGCTAAAGTGTGAAAATTTCCTCGCTAAATTTAGAGGGGAAACTGTGACGTCCCATAATGCAACGCGCGCAGTTACGCCGACGGCGACGCCCCTCAACCCGGAAACGGGCGCCTAAGGGCTGCGCTATAAAATGAAAGACGGTTACAAATCTATGTAACACGAAACTAGAGCGCAGCTCTTGAGGAGGAGGAGGGGAGGGTATGGAGGGGAAAGTATGCCCCCCTCCTCCTTCACTCCTCCTCCTCCTTTCTTCCTCGTCTCCTCCGGCCGCTGAATTTGTTCATGGGTGACGTGACACGAGGTCGTGACGTCATTTTCCCCCGCTAAATTCAGCACGGAAACAGAATTGACGTTGAGGTCACGTGACGTCAATTTCCTCGCTAAATTTCGCGGGGAAACTTAACCCGATAAATTAAGTGAGAAAATTTTTCCGCTAAATTTTGTGGAAAAAATTAGAGCCGTTTACAACTCCCTGTAACACCGAATTGGAGCGCAGATCTTGAAGAGGAGGATCGAGGGAAGGCTACTGAAGGTCACGTGTCCTTGACGGGGGGGGTCACGGGACCTTGGGGGGCCACGTGACTTGGGGGAGGGGTCACGTGACCTCAAGGGGGGCGGGGGGGTCACGTGACTTCGGGGGAGGGGTGGTCACGTGACCTCAAGGGGGGGCGGGGGGTCACGTGACTTCGGGGGGGGGGGGGGGGTCACGTGACCTCACGGTTACGCCGACGGCGACGGCGACAATGACGCCGACGCCGCTCATGCCGGAAACGGCGTCTAAGAGCTGCGCTCTAAAAGTTCCCCGCTAACTTTAGCGGGGAAACGTCCCATACTGCAACGCGCGCCGTTACGCCGAAGCCGACGGCGACGGCGACGCCGCTCAACCCGGAAGCGAGCGCCAAAGACCTGCGCTCTAAAAAGTAACTGAATAGCGTTACTCGTTACTCGCAAAATAGAAGCCAAATACATTACTCGTTACCGATTCCCAGAAGAAACACATTGCTTTACCTCAAAAGTAGAAGGTTAATTTTCTCTTCACTTTGACGACAAAGCACACAACGGCATTTCTTTCGTGGTTTATTGTTTTCCTTTCAGTAATCGGTGCACTTGAGCAGTAGTTGCCACTCTCGGTGTTCATCAGATATGTTTTCCCCGCTCCCTTGAGAATACATCTCAGGCAACGTTGATGAGTCGTTCTCCTGACGCGCTCGAAGGAACGGCAGGGTCGTGCTTCAGGAAGTGCTAGTGAATCTGGGATTCAGTAATGTTCTTCGTCGATCGTGGGGTGCTGCGCTGGCTGGAGGGTGGCTTCTTTCCGGTGGCTTCAGTGACGCTCACGACTCGGTGGTTGATTAAATAAATATATATTTACAGATTATGAACAACTTTTTACAACACAAAACAATTGTCACGCTGCTGATGCCGCGGCAACCCAGCGCCAACAATAGCGCCTCGGCGCCAAGTCCCTTGCCGCGCACGGCAAGTTCTCTGCCCCGCAGGACAAAGTACGCGGAGCCCTCGGGACCGCGGGAGATCACGACTTGCTCCGCGCACGGGCTCGTTGAAACTCAATTTCTCCAAAAAGGCGCACCGACATTCCGAAGAGAGGCCGGACCACCCTCTCTCCCCCGAAGTCGCCGACATGGCCCTGCCAAGGTCGCCTCCCCAATTACCTCGGCGGCAAGGGCGACCACCCGCGAACAGAGGTTTGTTTACTTCCCACGCGGGGAAATCTGCTTCCACTTTCGGGAGCTGGCCTCCGCTTGCCGCCAAAGGGAAAGACAAGACATCGGGCGCCTCCGAAGGACGCTTCGGGCGACCTCGCCGCCAATTCCCCGAGATCTTTCGGCTAAGCCCCTTCGGCCATCCCTACACGTCCCCCCGAAAACTGCGCTAGGACTTCTGGACTAGCCAGCAGTTACAAAAACAGGATGGCCGAAAACCCAACAAGAACACAAAAACAACCCGCTTAAACTGAAGCGAAAAATAAAAACAACAAAACACATGGCTGGAAATAACCAAGCCAGGCACCTCTAGCACCAATTGCTATATAAAACTGAGGAGAAAAAAAAAAAAAGGACAACACTTCTTACTAAACTCCGTTTCTCAGCCGGCCTCTGAGGACCTGGATCGCTCGCAACAACGACCCCTCTGGTGCCGCAAGAGGTTCCGCAACCAAAAGACAAAAACATCAATAAATTCCGGCAAACCAACAGTAAACGAAAAACTGAAAACGCTCGGTGAACACTGAACAACGCTGGAACGTTTGATTGCACAAAACCGCGGCAGTGATTGTCTCCCGAAGCTGACAGCATTCCCGTATAGAGAGAGCGAAAAAATAAAACACAGCCACGCTCCTCTAGCACGACCTGCTAAATGAAAATTAAAACAGGGAGAACACTTATTTCTGCTTGTGGAGACAAAACCTTGATCACACACTCAGCTAGACTCCAGCGACACCAAGAACGCTGCAAGCCGTTGCCGTAAAAAAGAAAAAAAAGACAACAAAACTCGAAAAGCGCGGCAAGCGCTACACAGTAAGGGCTCATTCACACTGGAAGCGGATCCGCGTTCGCAAAGCGGTTGCGAACGCGGTTGTATAAGGATTCAGTACAATTGCACGCGCACACGATGACATCAAATGCGCGTGCAATTGCACTGGATCTTTATACAACCGCTTTCGCAACCGCTTCGCGAACGCGGATCCGCTTCCAGTGTGAATGGGGGGTTAGTGTGAGTTCAATGGCACCTCGCAGGGGCCACGGCAGTGATCGCCTCCCCACATGCACACCCGCTGACACCGCGTGCATAAGCGAGACAAAGCGCTCCCCTGCCACCGTACAGTCGCCCCTTACTCGGTCACCTGTGTCGAGTGTCGCGAGGACAGTGTCGCTCGCCAGAGCTTCATTAGGCCCCCGAAGGCGTGCTCGGCTCGGTCTCCTCCGGGAACCGTGCTCAGTACTCGCTTCGCAGTCGGTTCGGTCAGAGGAAGGACCAACACTGCGCCCATGTCGCGCCATCGCCGTACCCGCTCCAACGTTGTCGCCCCACGGCGATTCGTGCTCCTGCACGTGTACCTCTCCTCGCCGCACACTTGGTGGTACCCACAGTGTCACACCCTCACCACAAGGCCCGTCGTGGTGATACCGAGGTCCAATCTGAACAGCTGCTGCAGCCCCCTTCGCGACCTCGGCATCTACCAGTCTCCCCAGCGTCGAGCCCGACCCCTGGTTCTCCGGGAGCTCCTCCCCTCCAGCTGCCCGGACGCAGGAAGACCCTGGTTCGCAAGCGGCCCGATCGCCCTCAGACCCCACGGCAGTCTCCAGACCCTGTATGGCGCGATCGGCCTCGGAGCCCACGGCGGTGTCCGGTTCCTGGACAGCGCGATTGGCCTCGGACCCCACGGCGGCCCCCGGTTTCTGTATGGCGCGATCGGCCTTGAACCCGACAGTGTCCGCTTCCTGGAGAGCGCGATCGGCGTCAGGACCCCCGGCAGTCTCCGGTCCCAGCACGGCATGACCGGCCTCGGACCCCAAGGTGGTCTGCGGTACCGGTACGGCTGGATCGGCCTCGGACCCGACAGTGTCCGGTTCCTGGACAGCGCGATCGGCGTCAGACCCCCCGGCAGTCTGCGGTCCCAGTACGGCGCGGCCGGCCTCAAACCCTACTTCTTGGAGAGCGCGATCGGCGCTGAACTCTACGGCAGCCTCCGGTTCTTGAACGTGACGATCGGCCCCGGACCCCACGACTGCCTCCGGGTCGCCTCGCGCGTCCGGTTCTGTCTCCCTCACAACCCAAGCCTCGGGCGCCGTGTCTTCCGCTGCCCGATGCTGCGGCTCTTCACGGCGCTGCCCTAGAAGCCGCGCTCTCGCTCTCCGCTCCTCCGCCCGGAGTTCTGCCTGTCGAACCTGCCGCTCCAGCTCCTTCGTTTTTTCCCTCGCAAGGGCTAACCGAACGCTCATCGGAACTGCTTCCCTATGCGACCCTTCGTCGCCTCCGTCGCTAGGGCTCCCCCCTCCTACGTAAGCTACACTTCGCCATGCAGCTAAGCACGCGGGTGTCAGCCGGCGACGAAAGGGAAAGCGACCACGTACCTGGCGGTGCTGTGGAGCCCACGGAAGTCGTTGACGCCGCCGAACTCGCGAGTCCCCACGGCGTCGATCGCCGCAAGCAGAGTCCGTTCTTTGAGACCTGGCTGTCACCGCTGCAGGTGTCGGGTGTCGCCAAACCCGCAGGTCACTGGCGTCGATTGCAGCCGGCGACGTTCGCTTGCCTGAATCTGTTGTCGCCGTCGAAGGCCCCAGGCCCACGGCAGTTGTCGATGACGCCGAACCCGCAGGTCACCGGCGCCGATCGCCCCACGCGACGTCCGCTTCTCGGCTTTCGTCGCTGTCGGCCACAGGCGTACTTGTAGCCGTGCCTCGCTATACCAGGCTGCTGGTCGTCTCGACTGGTCCTGGGCTCCTGCCGATGGACACCGCCACACTCCGCGCCAGCACTGGCCTCGTCGTCTTCCTGGCACACGATGTTGTCGAAGTGGCCGACGACGTCCACGATCCTGTCGACTGCGCCAGTAATGTTTCTTCGTCGATCGTGGAGTGCTGCGCTGGCTGGAGCGTGGCTTCTTTCCGGTGGCTTCAGTGACGCTCACGACTTAGTGATTGAGTAAATAAATATATATTTACAAACGAAGAACAACTTTTTACAGGACAAACAGGAAAACGTCACGCTTGGCGTACTGTCGCTCGCGACAGTCCAACGCCAACAATGGCGCCTCAGCGCCAAATCCGTTGCCGCGCACGGCAAGTTCTTTGCCCCGCAGGACAAAGTACGCGGAGCCCTCGGGACCGCGGGAGAATAACGTCTTGCTCCGCGCACGGGCTCGTTCAGACTCAACTTTTCCAAAAAGGCGCACCGACATTCCGAAGGGAGGCCGGACCTCCCTCACTCCCCCGAAGTCGCCGACATGGCCCCGACAAGGTCGCCTCCCCAATTACCTCGGCGGCAAGGGCGACCACCCGCGAACAGAGGTTTGTTTACTTCCCACGCGGGGAAATCTGCTTCCACTTTCGGGAGCTGGCCTCCGCTTGCCGCCAAAGGGAAAGACAAGACATCGGGCGCCTCCGAAGGACGCTTCGGGTGACCGCGCCGCCAATTCCCCGAGCTCTTTCGGCTAAGCCCCTTCGGCCATCCCTACAGATTCCCTCTCCATTTTGTACTCTCTGCTTCTAAAGTTTGAAGTTGACTATGGGTTCTTTGCCTTGTCGTGTTGGCCGCCTCCGGGTTTGCATTCGGTCTGTACAAGATTCTAGAATGTTCAACCAACGAACCTCATTGTCTTCACTGGGTGAAGGACATTCCCAGCTGTAGAGTTCGACACACGTGTTCAGCGATGCAGGTTACCATACTCTCATACTGTTTAGTTGGTTTGCGGTTTTCCCATCTGCCTCGCAATACACGCATACTCAGGTTAGAATTAAAACGAGGCTGTTTGAACCCTGTTGTACACGTTACTCATAGTAATGAAATAGCACTACTCGTTACTTGGCCTCAAGAGTACCTACGTACTTTGCTCGTTCCTTTTCTGGAAAAGTAGCTGGATAGGTTAATCGTTGCCAAAAAAGTAACTAGGGAGAAGTAACTGGTTAGTAGTAACAGGTTACGAACATGTATGGGTGCAACCGACAAGCAAAAGAAAGCAGACGACATGCAGACGAAATCCGTTGGCAACGAGAGCGGCGTCGTTATGCAACCACGTTTTCTTTAATCTTTGTTAACTCAAGTGTTGCTATCATTGTCCGAATTTATTTGTAAACCACAAATACATTACAAAACTATTGTGCTCATTTTAAAAGACCATGGTCCACGCGGGCACATTCGATAACTTTTTTTAAAAGCAAGCCGGAACAAGGAGGTAGCGCCATCTATCAATACATGCGCCAAACGCGCCCCGCCACTCTATTCGGTCGTTTGCGTCACCGTCTACCCCGTCCACCGTTGAACCTGGCAAGCTTTTTGCCCTATTTTTTACAGAAAGGGAGCTACGCCTTGCAATTAAAAAGGTAAACTCACCTATGAAATAAACGTTTGACGAAAAGTTTAGATCGCTAGTGCAGGCGCTGGTTTTTAACGACCCATATTAGACCGAGCCTCGGCATTTCAGTCACCCTCTATGTTCACTCCTCTTCGTGATTTAAGTTCTTTGGCGCCCTTATCGACTAACCTTGTAACCTCATTGGCTGCGGAGAGATAATGATATGCTCGGGGTCTAACCACGCTCTACGCTTATTAAGCTGTCCGTGAGGCAGTCCTGCTCACCGTACCTTCGCTGGGAAGAACCAGAAGAACATGTTGCTGCCCAGCTGCTTGTTGACGGTGAGGAATCCCGCGTGGCTCGGCACATCCTCCACGTCCCCGAGGCTGCCCACGCGGCTCAATGCTTTCGCTTCGTCCAGGCGACCCGCCTCGATAAGCGGAGTCAGAAACAAGGGGTCGCCCACGTCTCCGAGGTGACCAGTGCCCAGGCTTTGTTGTCTGCGATACAACGGGGTAACTGACGTTGTAAGCGTTGAGGAGCACTTGATCGTGGCGACGGACCGGTGTTGGACATGGTGCCCAAGTGGAAGAACGAATGCACGTTCAGCGTGCCTTTCGCACTTTTAAAGCGACTTTAATCCTCCCTGCAAGGATGTTCTTATTCCCCGTGTTAGTGTTAGATGCATTGTAGCACAGGACCATGGAAAAAATTATCAGCAATTCAGCGCAGCCGTTGGTTTGACGTCATAGCGCGAGTGGCCAATGGCGTTGCGTCCAGCGGAGTTAAAAGGTAAGCGGTGCATCTCACACTCCCCTCTCTCGCTTTCCTCCCCCCTCCCCCTCCGCAGCGTAGAAACGGAGGCTGCGTAGCATGGTAGGAACTGCGTATTAGTGCTGTAGCACGTTCATTGCATTTGACGGAGTCTATAAGCTATACAATTGTTTACGTGCTTTTCATTTAAGCTCTATATTCAGGAAAGAATGGTGCTGACTCTGCTGTTCAAGAATACGACGTATTGTTGAGTTTCGATTGCCTTCAACCCTTATGAAAACGATCGTATTAAAAACATTTTTAAAAAGGCTGAAAAGTACTTTAGGAAGTAAGGCCTGAAAAGTACTTTATTATTCAAACCGTAAATCCATGCGAAATAACTCATTAATCTTCATAAGTAAACACTTTTATGGACGTCAAATTCAGTACCACGAATTCATTCTTTAAGGGCCAATATTTACAATATTGCAATTGCAATATTTTCCAAGTCAACATTCGAGGATAAAAATATTGATTTTCGACTGAATCGTGTTTCATTTAACACATGCCCTGTTACGTTTCTTGGTCTAAAAAGTATATGATGATGATACCAATTTGCTAGTTAGGTGAAAAATCCAAAAAAACAATGCTTTTTTACCTTAACTGCAAAATTCAGCACATGGTATCTGTCCCAACCACTTCAGGCTCATGTGAAAGTGAGTTTATCACACCTGTACCTTTAGTAAAAAACGACGGCAAAAACTCGCTTCATCCAGCTAGGTTAAATATATTTATTCGTTCTCGCAGGCAGCAGTCAAACATTTTCCCTCGAGGTTATTGTGATGCGTGAAAATTTCTTTGTTTATGATAATTGTTGGAACATTCAGTTAAGTGTGACTTGTTTTCACTTCATTTCAATCTTGTGTACGAAAATATTTTTTATGTGCTTCTTTATTTTTGTTTTATTTTATTTTTTCTGGAAAGATATTTGCCTCACTGGAAATCTGCGCTCAAATAATGTAATATTACGAGTCACCGTCCCACCCCCCTGCCACCTGAAATTCATAAAAGTGGGCTAGGCCATGTCTCGGTCGCTAAGCACAAAAAGTATAGAAAATTTAACACTTTAAAAAAATGCCCCTTTTTCTTTGCCTCTCTAACGCGGCTCCACAATAGATACATTAAACTTAAAACTCGAATTGGTTTCATTGTTTTATGCAAGAAATGTTCATGGAATAACATTTGACTATCGCAAAGTCGGCTACTCGCATACGCGCGATAAACACCGTCGATCAGCATACAGCGGTAACGTTTCTTCCGTGAAAACACGTTTCTAACGCTGCTGTGTTTTCGCCGTTAATAAAAAAAAAAAAACGTTAAGTCAACAAGAAAACAAAAAACCCAACCAGGAGCAACGAGCGGACGAAAGAAGCGACAAAGTGCGGTGCTGGGGAAGAGGGAAAGACAGCGATCGCGTTGGCAAATACTTTGGCATTTGCCCAAGTCGGGCACCCGTCAATCGCTCTTGCGCAACTTTCTTGTCTGACGCATACATGCGTGTGTACGTGCGTGACGCGCTGTCAACGCGGGGTTGAGGCGCGTTGCTGCGTGGTGTGGACGACACCACGAACGCGAAGCTCGAAATGGGACGCTCTACTGTCGTCTGTGCGTGGTGTTGCAGCAAATTTTTATATACCGATTGGCTTAATCTTCAGCATTGCACAGCCTTACCAACCGCAGTCGCTACGTTCCGGGAGAAGGAGCGGGTTCGCGGTGGCCCTTACTTTGGTGGATACGGACTTTGACTTTACACTCCGCGGTTACATTCCAGGATATGCGGTGTTCGCTGACTTCGCGATACCTGAATGTGTTAGTGCTTTTGTTACCTTTATGACCTTCTTTTTTTTTTTTTTTTGTTCTGTCCGAACAAACTTTTTTGTAAGCAAACCGAAGTATCATTTTGTTATCTCCATCGTTTTCCTTTCGCATGAATGTACTACGACTTCTGGATCGCGGAAATCGGAGAGGAAATGCATAAACAAAAAGAAGTTTCTTTCCCTCCTTCGTTTTACTTTGTCACGGACGTCCTCCAACCATAAGGTCCGCGGCCACGCGTCATGCGGGTAGAATGAATTTTCGCGGACCGAGGAGTCGACATTGTGGAAATTGTAAGAG